TATGTTAAAAATAAAAAAATATTATAAATAATTTTAAATTTATATTTAATGTTAAATATATTGAAATACTAAAACTAAATAATTGATACTAATTTTTAAACTTGTAATTAATGATAATTTTTTTGAAATATTAAAATTAATAGAAAAATTGTAAGAAAAAAAAATTAATTTCTAATAAACTCTTATTTTAAAGATAAAATTTATTTCAATAATTCTAAATAAAGGAAATGTTGTTACAATATTAAAAAAATAAATGGACATATAAATATCTAAAAATGAACTAAGTTGAGTTGAATTTGACTTAAAAATATTTTTTTAGTTTGTAATTTGATTTGAGTTCGAGATTAATTATTTTTTAACTTAAATTTGACTTAGTTAAAGTTTGCTTGTAATTTTGTTTAACTTGTTAGTTTAAATCATATGAATCAAAGTCAATTTTTTTTTAATTTTATATATTTTAAAGTTTTAATTTAATGGTAAATTTAAGATAAAATGATTGTTTAACTTTTAAAAAGTAAAACATAATGTATTTTATTAGTTTTGTAAGATTTAAAAATAGGTCTTCGATAAAACATAATTGCAAGTAAAGTTTGTATAAATAAAAATTATTCTATCTCACATAAAATAGCAAAAAGCTTAATTCATAACAATGAAATTTTAAAGTGTCCATTGTTATGATTAACTTATATTTTTTTTATGGTTCTTTCAAATTTTAATAAGTTAAAATTAAATAGAAAGTTATCTATATAACTTTATACCTCAAGCTGACTTATAAACAATGAATTAAATTATATACAATTTAAATTTGACTCATTTATTTATTAAATTTAATTTTTAATTTAAATTCAACTCATTTAATTTATAAATTAAGTTTATTAAGTTAATTATTGAATCGAGTTTTAAACTATTTCAAATTAATTAAATTCATTATCACTTTTATATTAAAGATTATTACTATATATAAGTGATTTAGTATGTATATTTTGGGATGGGGCGGGGCGGGTACAAATTTCATGATACCCGTCTCCGTTTTCGCGAGTTAAACTCATCCTCATTCCCGTACCCGTACTCATCGGGTATGTGATTTTCATCCTCATCTCTGTCCCCGTCGGGTATCGGGTATACCCGTACCCATACCTGTCAAAAAAAAATTTTGTTAAAAAAATATGATATTTTTAATTTATTTTTTATTATATAGTAATTATAATTAAGTTATTTCTCAATCTCATATTATAATAAATAATCACACATAAAAAATATTAAAATTATTTAATATAATTAAATTAAAAATTGGTATTAATTAAAAAAGAAAATGAGGACAGATACGGGGCGGGATAAGTACATACTCATATCCGTACCCGATTTAATATATCGAGTTTTATCTATATCCATAACCGTATCCGATCAAATCGGGCCCGTCAAAATCGGGACAGGTTCAGGTATTACCCGCGAGTACGGATATATTTATCATCCCTATGTATATTATTCAATTAATTAAAGATTACGGTTTAATTACAACTAAAACATAAAGTTCTCATTAAAAATATTACTTTATTTATTGGGCACTAACTCTTTATTTAAAAGAAAAATAATATATGGACATGAAAATCAAAGAAAGCCCGAATTACGCTAAAAAAAACATGGAAAGGTTTACAAGCGATAAACTTCCAACCAAATGATACGATTTGTCCCATAAAAAGTTGCAAAATGCACATATAAATGGCTTATTTGAGGAAGGGATAGATAAATGGATTTAATTTAGTTATTTACAAACACCATAAAAAAACACACATACAAATTCATCGCAAATAAAGTTGGATTATTTTCATTAGTTATATATAGTAAATATTAATAAAAAAAAGCATCATAATTAATTAAAAAATTTAGTGTATTTTTTTTTTAAATTATTACCATGCGTAGGAAATTATAAGTACAATTTAACTTTAAGATTACCGAGTTTTTTAATTAAATAATATATATCTTTTATTATTTATCAAATGTATATTTAAAATTTATATAAAGTCATCGAATTAATTGACGTAATAGTTATGCACATTGAATTAACATGATGGAACAATATACTTAAAAAGAAATTTTGTTATTAATTTCGTGTTTGATTCTTCTTATATGTGAAAATTTCTTAAATTAATGATAATATTACGAACGAAATTAATCTTTAATTCAGCATACTAAAGAACATTAATGAAAAAAAATTATATGATAAAATACTCAAAGAGTTAAAAGCATTTTGGATTAAAATTTGGATTAGATAAGTTTGTTGACAATCCAAATTTTAAAATATCTTTTTGCACAAATTTTTTAAAGTTAGATGAGCCATAAATTTTAAATTAGACATTTAAAATTTATAATAATATATAAAGAAATATCATCATTCACTATCCATTTTTTAAAAGATGATTATATTCCACAATTATATTTTAATTTTTTCCTATTACTATATTTTTAAGGACAAAATAGAAAAAAATAATTTATAAAATAAATAATTATTTTCTTTAAAAATAATAACTAATAACCTTTTCATTAATGAAAATACTTAACTATTATTTTCATAGAGACATAATTTTTGTGTTGATAGTGTTAATTATAATAATCTAAAGACCAAAATTCATTCATATTTTAATTGTAAATTTTAAATATATATTAAAAAAACATCAATGAGAAATGTACTTCCTATTAACCATTATATAATCATCATATACATTTTTTTATCACAAACCATAAACACTATTATACTTGTGTAATCAGACATTCGTCTATTATAAAACTAAATAAACATAGTTAAATTAAAGTAATAGTGTGTTTGGATGAAGAATTTAAATAAAATAATTTATTTATTTAAATTTTTTTAAATTTTTTGAGATAAAATACCTTGTTTGAATAGAGAATTTATAAAGAATTTGAAATTTAAGCATTTATAAAATTCGTTGAAATAGTAGAATTTCAAATTCTCTCAAAAAAGTAAGAATTTGAAATTTCTCATATTTTTTTTTCTTATTTCACTTATATATTTTCTTTTATCTCTTATCTCTTTATTTTTTAATTATTAAATATTCAAAAATATTTTTTAAATTATTAAATATTATATAATATTAATTTTAAAAATTATTAAATATTTAAAAATTAGCTGATATTTATTTTTATAAAATTTAATTTAAAAATCTTAACATATAAATATATTTTTAAATCCAATTTTATCATGATAAAATTAAATTATCATATCCAATCTAATAATTTAAAATTAAAAAAATTTGAATTAACTTATCTAAACAAAATATTTTAAGAATGATAATAATTAAAATTAAAGTAATTCAAATATCAAAAATTTAAAATTCATTAAATTTATAAAAATTTTCATCCAAACACCATTAAAGTACACATCATTGCTTATGAATAAATTAGTATATCTATTTGAGCTCTCTAAAGCTATCAAGACCTATTAACTTGAGTTGTGATATAAAATTGGATGGAGCTCCTCTAGCGTAAGAGAATTATACTTTAAAAAATAAAGTAGAATGATAACTATTAACTACAACAGTAACGATTAATATTATAATTAATTTTAAATTTTATTTATTAAAAAATTATTCTATCATAATTTTAATAATTAACTATATAATGAATAATTATTGTTGCACTTTACTTTTTAAATTTAAACTCTTAAAAAAGATATCATCATATTCCAGAAAACTTGCCTGTGGAAAGCACCATCAGGTAGGTGCAGCTGCCACATAGACAAAGGCATTATTTCTTTGAGGAAAGGTGGCATTGGACAACTTTGCCTTGGCTTCCAGCACTTCTACTCCTCTTAATCTTCTAGAGATTACATGGTTTCCTTAATCATTTATGAAGTTTAGTTTGGATTCTCAATCATATATGTCAACCCAAGTTAATTGTCTTCAAGAATATATAAAAATAAACTAAAAATATTATATCTACCAGATATTTTTATAAGCTCTCAAAATACTTTTTATAATACTTATAATATAAGAAACATTTATAAATAAGTTTATAAACTCTTCTAAACAAGATCTTATTTTTATCGGTATATCAAGTTATATTATTATTAAAAATTGCCATAGAATAAGTAGAAAATTTAACCTCAGCTGATACTCTTCTTTAACTTGGTTTGTGTAAAAAAAATATTTTTAAAATTTTAAATTATTATGTTATAATAAACCAAATGAAAAATGAGATTGCTAATAATTACAAAAACACTTCATATTTATTTTTATTCACATATATTAAGCCATATCTTAAAATGAGGTTAACAATTCAATACCAATTTCAAAATATTTTAATATTATTTTATTTTATGAATTCTCACAGTAATTAACAAAGATAAGAACACGAGAAATATGAAACTTGTTAAAGTGAGTTATTTTATAAAATATACATGAGCGTATTCATTTTGATTTTTATTTAGTTAAGCCCGTAAAGTATTTTAAATTAAATATAAATAAATATACATTTATTAATGCATTTGGGTAGGTAACTCATTTTAAAATAATTTCACGCGTAGTGTGAAAATAAAGTGGATATAAATTAAAAATCGTGATTATTATTACACAATGAAATTGCATACAGACTTCGGATACTTTTATAACACGAGTCCCGCGTGACATAATATAATTTTATTATAACATGAAATGAAAGCACTTATTTACATGGAAAAGAATCGTCTCGGTCTTATAAAATAAATCGTAGGTCAAAAAACAATTGCACTTTAACCTAACGTGGTTAGAGGCTTAGAGCACGAATAGGCGAATACACCATTCAAACATCAAAATAACGTACTTAAGCGTGGATCAACCCCTACCGCTAAATCATACGCTTGGGATTAAATCTTTTTTACTTTCTATCCTTTATTTTCTTTTCATAATTAAAAAAAAATATATATAAAAGAAAAATTCGTTTATTTTAAAAATAAATTAAATAAGTCTTCTTAAATTATTTTTATTAAATTGTAATAATTTAATTATTAAATTTAAATTTTTTAATATATAAATTAAATATGAAAATTTTAATATTTTATTTTATTAATTTAAATTTATATATAAAATAATTTTATGATTATGGTGAATTTGAATTAATAATAATTATGCAATTCACTAAAATAGTGTTAGTTTAATTTATTAGACTGTGTACATGCCATATAATCTCTTACTACATACACACTGGGGAGTGGGGACTTAACCGAGACGGTGACACTGTGACAGTGGCAGAGAAGAATACTCACCGCCGTAAGTTGCAGCGATGGCCATAGCCGCCACCATTTCCGCTCCTCTCACATCTCCGACTCGCCGCACTCTCGCCGCCGTCAACACGCTCTTTCCCCATTCTAGCAGATCCACTTTGCCCACACCGCAACGCGCTTTCAAATACCCTAACTCTCGCCTCGTCGCCTCCTCCATGAGCACCGACGCTCCCGTCAAAACATCCTCCGCCTCCTTCATCCACCGCGGAGAGGCCGGCTTTCTCCACTTCGCCAAGTACCACGGCATCGGAAACGACTTCATTTTGGTGAGTCCACGTTCCGCTTTGCTTTCCCTTACCGAATAAAAATCCGTTCGCCTTTGACGCGTGATTTTGAATAGATTGACAACAGAGACTCGTCCGAGCCCAGGGTGAGTCCGGAGAAAGCGGTGGAACTGTGTGATCGGAACTTCGGTGTCGGAGCTGACGGGGTTATCTTTGTCTTGCCTGGCATCAACGGCACCGATTATACCATGAGGATTTTTAACTCCGATGGCAGTGAGCCTGAGGTAGTGCTTCTTCTAACCAATCTAACCAAGCCTTATTCGTGCATGATTTTGATCGAATAAACTTGTGATTCGATAAGCTTCAACTGTAATTTCTTATTCGAGAACAAAACAAGAAGATAAAGTAAATAGGATTTCTCTCGAAATATAAAATCAACTTATGCATTTCTATTTTTAGAGAAGTTAGATGGGAGAACTTGTATAAAACTTAAGTGCATAAGAGAAGCTAAACTCATTTTACCTTCCTTTCGGGTTTAATGGTGATGTAGTGACATTGTAAAACTAACTTATAATGTATCCAATCGCAAGCTACCATAAATGATAAATTTGTTGATTTTTACCATAACTATATTAAAAGTTATACAAATCGTGATTTTTGATTGGTTGACTGTGTAAAACTTTTTACACTTATAATGCATGACTATTAAACTCTTATCTTGATGGCTTTTCTTATAAGTGATTATAAAGAAGTTTATCTAAATTGAACATTAGTTATTTATATGATTGACAAGCTTGCTATTGTTTCTTGGATGGGCGCTTTGCTTTCTAGATGTGTGGCAATGGAGTCCGGTGCTTCGCGAAGTTTGTTTCTCAGCTTGAGAATTTACATGGGAGGCATAGGTATGATCGTTCTTTCTAAAACCCTTCGTGTTCTGTTTTTTAATTGTCATTTTCAGTTGCTTCGTACCGTCTCGCTTCTTATGTCTTGTTGATTGTGACTATTGATATTGTGTTTTTGGGCAATTTTTTTCATGTATAATATATAACAAATATCTGTGAAGAACTGAAGATAAAACTTACGTATTAGATAATATTGAAAATGAAAATAATAAATTGATATTTTTTTATGATGGTTTAGTTGCCACCTCAATCATTATTATTATAATGGACTAATGGGCTTTATGAAATTTCATCTAACAATGTATTTTCATACTTTGCAGTTTCACCATACATACTGGTGCTGGTCTGATTATTCCTGAAGTCTTGGAGGATGGAAATGTATATTACGTGACAAGTATTTTCAATTTACTTATTGATATATGATATTGTTTAAAGGCATTGACACATGCTGCTTCTAAGGTTCCTTAATTGGTATAAAGTTAGGAAGGAATTTTCTTTTCGTTTCTCATCTGATGTTGGTTCTCTTTCTTCAGCTTGATAGACAATAATTAAACTGTTTCAGGTCAGAGTTGACATGGGGGAACCAATTCTTAAAGCCTCAGAAGTGCCTACTAAGATACCTGCAAATAAGGATATTGCTGTTGTTAAATCAGAGCTAGTTGTAGATGGAGTTATCTGGCATGTGACCTGTGTTAGCATGGGAAATCCACACTGCATAACTTTCAGTAGAGAAGGAAGCCAGGTCTTTATTTTTACATACAATAGATATTTTTCATAGATACAATTTCCTTTTGTGTTATACAATCCATACCAGATATATTTAAAGGAAAAAACAGTGTAGGAATAAGAGGAAAAAACATAAATCTGTGATGAGTTACATGATATTATATACAAATGCATTGATATTCTCACACGCACAATTGATTGTGTAACCATTTGTATACTTTGAAATTGATTTTTTTTTTAATTGCATCTTAAAAGGTCAAATTTCATTTGTTGTACAAAAGCTTTACATAAACTTAATATATTTTTTGCTTTGGCCACATATATCATGTTTGCTTTAATTCTTGTTACAACAGAATTTGCTTGTTGATGAAGTGAACCTGGCAGAAATTGGCCCAAAATTTGAACATCATGAGGTGTTCCCTGCACGGACTAACACAGGTCAGATTTGTCTATTTCTATGATGGGAATATGATTAATAACTTTCTTATGCTGGCCTCATCAGTTTCTTATTTCTGCCACCCGGAGCTTTTAAAAACATTCTTCCTTGAGCAATATAGCTCTGTTATAGCAAGCTAGATGAACATTCTGCCAAGATGGTGCTGCTGCATATTGACTTAGTCACATGTAATTATTCTTAGTTTAATGCTTGGCAACACAATACAGTTGGTATTTTTTTCATACTTGATCAGACTGTATGACTAGCTTAGGTTGGGGGAGAGGTGTTGTTCCTTATGCTTATGGATAGCATATGATACTATGCAATTATGACTGGCTTTTATTTTTTTTACCAAAATTTCATCATTGATGTTTTGATTCCTTGAGCATGTCCCAAATGTATGTAGTCATCTTCACATAATCCTGTTGCATACCTCATTAATTAATTGTTTTCTTATTTAACATGCAGAGTTTGTGCAAGTATTGTCTAATTCTCACCTTAAAATGCGTGTTTGGGAGCGTGGGGCAGGTTAGAAAATCTAATATTCAATCTTTATCTGATTATTGTTGATAGTGCAGTTAGGGTAAATTCAAGGTGCTCCAAAATTTTGTATGGGAGAGATCATGTTTTGTTGTGCAGGAGCAACCCTAGCCTGTGGAACTGGAGCTTGTGCTACTGTTGTTGCGGCAGTTCTTGAGGGTCGAGCTGGGAGGGTAAGTTTGCTATTTTGCTTATAACAATATGAAAACTGTTCTCCTTTTTAAATTTTTTTTTTATCGTATTCTATACATAACAAATTTGATTGTCATTGCACATTGTTAAGAATTGTCTTGTAATCATGAATCCTTTTTATAATGTTTGTTGCAAAACTTCCTTCCTTGGGGATTTCCTTTAGTCTGAGTACTGCAGCAGGGCACCCATTAGCTTGTGGGAAAAGCGATTAGTTCTGATTCCATGAAAGTGTAGGTTTATGTAAAGAAAACTGTTTAGATTTAAATCATTAAATGTAAAGGATGTCAGGTTCTTCCTCTTCTCATGAGCTGCATATTGGACTTGAAGTTGCATCGGCCATCAGCCATTGTGCAAGGATCTTGGTCTAGTGGTTTAGGCAGAGACGCTCGATTATTTCAGAACCTCCCACGTTTCTTGGACCAATTTCCATTATGATAAAAATTTGATAGCTCCTTCAAATTCCACTCCCATTTTACACTACTTGTCACAAAGTTGTAGAAGATAAAAGCAGGGCTAACAGTTTCTGCTGCATATCTAGATTGGGCTTCAATCTCGTTCTCTCCATATATGCTCCAACTTTACCTTCTCATTTCTTGGTGACTTCTCCAATACTGTCAAATTCTCCTCTTAGGTCATTGAGAGTGGAAACCTAATCAAGGGTAGGCCGTTTGGAAAATCTGCCCCAGAGGAGTTTCGTGGACAAATTCCTCACAATTGGAACCTTGAAAGTTCTTGACCGTCTGAAACAACCTTCACAGATTGCAGTTTCTCTTTATCTGATGATACCCATTCGAATTCATTAATTCAAGATAATGCTCAATTTGGTTGACCCATCTGCACGCTTGTCTCCTGAAATTAGAGGAGTTTGTAGCTTCCTACTATTCTCCTTACACTTCCAACTTGTTTTGGGATTGGGACCCATTCCTTGTACACATTTCAATATTTCATATCATTCCCAACCTGATTTTGTCCTGGTCCAACACTCCCAATATTGCTTTCCCAGGTTTCTTCATTGAAAATCTCACACCATGTTCATCATCCTGTCTTGCAAATCTTCATTCTTGATTCTTTCATCTTACAATCCCTCTGGACTTGATCCACTCATCCGTGCTTCAAACCTTTCTCGATGTTTCAGTTCCTAAATCTAGATCTCCTATGCTTGTTTCAGGCAAGAGACATCGCTCCAAAGACCCCAATTTTGACTTCGTTTTTGTGTACCAGTTACCACAAAGAATTCCCAGGATAGGACCTCTGATACCAGCGTTAGTAGCAGTATAGAACAGATAGAAGAAAGGAGAATTCTTTATTGCAATCTACCCTTTTCTTGAAACCGTAAGTTCTTAAAGAAGAGGGAAATGAATTATAGAAATGTTCCTAGGGATTTGAGAGCCTAGTCTCCCAACCAAAACTAACCCTCACCAACTAACTGCCTTCAATAACATTCTTTTCCTCTATTTATATCTCTACTAATGTAATAAAAGAGCTTACTAAATACTTCTCCAACAGATTTAACTAACAAGGTCTAACTAATGGAGGCTGAATAACTTTTTCCTTTAAATTTTTCCCCCCTCTACATATACATTCCTAATTGGGGTCTGATGTTAACTGCTTGCTTCGTAAGGTACTCCTCACTGGTTTCTCTTCTGTAGTGGCGATCTAGACTTAATAAAATCTTGGTCTGCTAGATTGTAGAGATATTGTTGCAGTTATTTGTAGTGCAAGTCTTGTTCAGTAGCATTCTGTCCAAAACTGCATGCAGTATTTGTAGATATTTGATGAAACATTTTTCTACCAGTTGATAACAAATTGTCAATTTATGTCTCGAGTTGATATTGGTGTTATATCTGCCATTGCAGTATGGCTTTAGAATTTGGATGGTGTGGTTTCCTTTATTTGAGTTTTTTTAACAGGGGAAAAAAACTTAGATATGTTTTTGGATTCTATAAATATACCAACTTTCGAGTTTTGTCCCTCTAAAATATGAGCCATGATTAGTGAGTGTCCTTTGCTTGCAATTTATCCTAAATTGCTGAGTGTTGAATGAATTCCCAACATGTCAACATTTAATGGATAATTTTAGAGGTACTAAAACTAAAATTCGATGTATTTATAAAGACCAAATACATATACGGGCCTAAAATGTATATGCTTCGTCACTGTTCCCGAAACATAATGTACGTTGATTTTGCCAGAATTTTTTTAATCTTTCAATTTGATACAGAAATGCACGGTTGATCTATCTGGAGGGCCTCTTCATATTGAGTGGAGGGAGGAAGATAACCACGTGTATATGACAGGGCCAGCCGATGTAGTTTTTTACGGATCTTTGACCCTTTGATACTTTGATATGTTGTCCCATCGTTAAGTTAAACCCAATACTTCGTGGAATTAGGAATTGCTGAATAATATTTGTATCATTTTATGAGAGGTGGACTTTCTGCTTGTTCTGAATGTTTTATCACGTGTTCAACATGTTCCTACTATCCCTTTGGTTGAATGTGACACAATGATTATCAATTGTACCATATTAGCCTTAATAAGCAATGAAGTAATGAAAATTGTCTAAACATGTAACATTATGAATGTTGTGTATAGAATCTTGAACGGTGACGTAGGAATTGGGAATTGGTATGCACAGTCAGAAATAGTGACTAATATTTATTGGAGATTGTAAGTATGCATAAGGTAGATATTTTTTTTCTTAATATTATCTTTTTCATATACAAAGTTGGGATTTAAACTCTGAACAATTTGATTAAAAGACACAAACTGTTATCATTTGTATTAATCAATATTAATTGTTATTTAGTATTTTGAGTTAAGTAGATTGATAAGTACAAAGTTTTTATTGGAGATTACAATTGCATTAAAATTCACGAGTGTGTTAACAATAACATTTTTTTATATATAAAAAATGTTAGTTTTTATTAGTGAATGTGTTTTAAGGATATTTGTTATAATTTTTCATAAACTCAAAAGGCTCTTGTGGGTAAGTTTGCCACAATTAATTCAATGAAGTACGAAGAGGTTATATTTTCAAAGTCAAAGTCCTACCAATACCTTATTTTGTTTAAATTCTTGCGTCATTTTACCTAAATATGCAATTGTATAGAATATAAAATTGTATAGAATATAAAATGAGTTAATCACTTATACACTGTCACTGTCAGTGTAAAGTTTTTTTATACTGACAGTTAATCAGAATCGTTAATAGTGTCTTTTCATCTGCTCATTTAATTAAATTAAAATAAAAAAGGTACTATTAACGACTTTGATTGACTGCCGGTGTAAAAAACTTTACACTGACAATATATAGGTAATTAACTCATATAAAATAGGTCGTTGATTTTTAAAAAACAGTTAAATATATTTTGAAGAATATATAATACTATATAGTTGTTTAAGCCAATAATGCTCCTAAGTTGTATTTTTTTTGTTAAAATAATGTTTGGTTAATAGAAGTCATGCTTTATAAGTTGTTAGCTTTAAGATATTATGTGAATCATATCTTTTAAAAAAAAATTGTTTAAGCCTATCACTAAATTAGAATTGGATTATGTCAAAAAGCTACCAATTTTTCTTATGAAATCTTTATCTTGATATGAATCAATTACAATTTAAAGTTTAATCACGGGCATAAGGCTCTTGAAATGATCAGTCAAGCTATACTGGTTGTTTTATTTAATGCCAAGTTTCATTTTAGAAATACTCTATTCAATGTATTCTAGAAAGTAACAATCCCCTCCCCTGCCCCACAAAAAAGTCAAAGACATGGAATGCGGTATGCAGAATTCTCTTGATGGGAAGTAGGTCCATTTGTAACATGTATTCCGTTAGTATTTTTCATTAAATGGAAAAGGGAAGTAGATCCATCTGGAACTTTCTTTTTTGTTTAACCTATTTTTGTAGAACAATATTTATTACTTATACTATAGAAAATTGCAGCAGTTTTGACAGCCTTGGTATCTAACTTTTGTGTCATTTCTTTAGGTATTTTATAATATTATCCTATATGGTGTATAGCATCCGTGACTTGTGTATTAGGTTTTAATTTTAATGATCATATATTTTGAGTGTCAAATTTTTTATACCGTTGACCGATTAAGAATTTTTTATATGACTTTTAAAGTAGTTACCGTGAAACTTAAAAAATTATCATTTATGATTGAATGAAAGTATAATTGTAAGTGCATATCTTTTTTTTTTCTTAGGTTTTAGCAGAATTAATAAAATAAATATGCAACACTCAAGTGTGCAACAGTCTACAGAATTGCAGCTAGAGAGATACACAACGTGCAAATGTTTCAAAAGATACCTCTTAGGAAGTTAATGAATATGCAGAGAATGTGAAAATCATTTCATGGAATGATAATCTCAAGGCAGATTTGAGCGGTAATTTATAGCACATGTATTATAACAACTTTTTCACTTGCTCATGTGAATGAACCGAAAGCTAAATCTTGTTTCTGTTCTATGTGAATACGTTGTTCAGAATACAAGTTCTACGTCTATAAAGAAATATAGTAACGATCTACTTGGACAATTGTTTCTATAAATATTTCTAGAAAGAGAAAATAAAAAAATTGAAAGACAAACTTTTCAAAGAAGTTAAAATTAATTTTTACTTTGTAAAACTCTCCCATATTATCTTATTCAAAAACTCTAATTTGCGGTCTTGCTCTTCGAGGATACGATGACAGAAAGCAATTCCCCAGTTAACAACTCAAGATGGAACCAAGCAAAAAGCCAAATTCTAGTTACAGTTAGCTGGAGTATGCAACAACACACCAAAAGCTTGCTTGCATTAGTTGGGTAGTTGGATGAAAGTTCTTCTATGCATAGTAAGGGAGGCATCAAGTGATGGCGTTTTCTATTAGCTGATAATAAATTAATTATTCTATTTTCCTCTTAATATATTATCTAGCTTGAGGCATGCAAGCCCCTTGATGGCTTGATCAATTCTTTAGACTTTTCATCTGTTTACCAATCTGCTGCTCACATTTGACTGTGTGTGGAGTTTCACTAATACGCCGGATTCAACTATCCCGGTGTGAAAGCATAGCACGAGCTTTCAGATTCTTTACCAAACAAAAATCAAATTTAGCAGTTGAGGCAGTTGAGAACACGAAGAAAAACATGCTTTTGCAACCACTAGCTCAACCAAATCTGTCTGAACATACAGTACTAAATTGTCTGACCTTGCCATGTTCAAGTGTGTCCGAACATTCACTGTTTCGGATCCAGAGTTGCTTTCCCTTTCTTGGCAAGTTTTGTTACAATAGAAAGTGCACAGAATGTTCTTAGTTTGGGAAAGTGACATATGGAATGATGGAAGTTTCGAGGAACATGGTTATTACTCGGTGGCTTAACGCGGCCGAAAAGTGAAACGTATGAGTGAGCGTGTGGCTTAAGCGTCACGTGGATTCGTGGACTAATATTTTGGCTCTTCAAATCCCAAATCCCAAATCCCAAAAGAAGACAAACAACGCCTATATTGGAGAAGCAATTACGTAAGACAAAGGGCATTCCCGTCATTACCACGAGTCAAAAAGCGTAGTCCAAGTTTGAAAATTGGACTTCTTTGAATTCTCTAGTGTCACCTCCACGTTACCTTGACTCGTCTATAAATACCGAACCCCCACTTCAACAATTCCTCATCACCACCACCTTTGAATCTCATATTCTCATACACCACATAAAAAAAATCTTCTTTTTCTTCTTGGAGCCAAACCCTTAGTGATGAAGAGACAGCGAGGTAACGAAGGGTCAGAGATCTTAGATTTGGCGAATTGTCTTATGTTATTCTCCTGCCCAGAAGAGAAAAGTTACAGGGGTGTGGAATTCGAGTGCAAGACATGCAACCGCAAGTTTTCATCTTTTCAAGCACTTGGTGGGCACAGGGCGAGTCATAAAAGGCAAAAGCTTGAAGGTGAAGAAGGACTGAAAGAAGAGGCAAAAACTCTGAAGCTATGGAACAAGCCCAAAATGCACGAGTGTTCCATTTGTGGCCTTGGATTCTCTCTGGGGCAGGCTCTGGGAGGCCACATGAGAAAACACAGAGCCACCATGAACCAAGGGTTTCCTTCTATCACTCAAGTTATTGCCAAAACTCCGGTTTTGAAGAGATCGAATAGCACCAGGGTTATGTGCTTAGACTTGGAGTTGCACCTTTAGACCATCACCTATGAAGCCACCCTCACTTCAACTTTATTCATCATGTATTCTTTCAATTTTTTCTGTAAAAAACTCAAAATTCATTCACTTTTTCCATATTGATGATTGATTCTTTGTTCATACCTTTGTTTCTTATAATATATTTATAATTAGTTATCCAAACTTCAGAGTTCTAAATGTACGTTCATCCAGGAGCGGTAACACTAACAATATCTGACGCCTACTTTACTATTGAAATTCGATGAATATGAAAAAAATTAAGATTTTTTTTTATAAGTTTAAGTAATATTAAATATTATATTTAAATGAATATGTTCAAAAAGTCTTATCAATATTTTTATGTTTTATTAGTATTAATTTATAAATAAGAGTTAATCACCTAAACACTCTCGGTGTAAAGTTTTTTTATATTAGCAACTAATTATATCTTTTAATTGTGCTATGTCTCTATATCACTGTTAAAAATAAATGTGTTTACAGAGACATGACACAATTAAAAGATATAATTGGTTGATAATGTAAAAAAACTTTACACTAACAATGTATAGGTGATTAATTCTATAAATAATATCTAAAAAAAATGGTTATATAAACATATTTCTAAGTTCATCCTAATATATAAGAGAAATGTAACTTCAGAATCATAACTATTAGTTAAAATTAATTTTAAATTATTATTTTTTATATGTTTCATTTTTTATTTAATAAGATTTTTTAATTTTTAATTTTTAATAAATTTTAACTAATAATAACATACTTGTCTAACAATATGCTACTAAACTCATCTAATATACTTTGATTATTTTCTATGGGTGTTTGTCAATTTAGATTAACTCGTCGAATTTGATGATCAGAATTAAATCAATTTGAACCTTTTTCAACTTAAGGTTAGACTCAAAACAAATTAATTAAATATATGATATTGATTAATTTGGGTGTCAAATTCACACTTTTGAGCTTAAGCAAGGTCACTTGCCTTGTGTATGCAGCCGCGTTAAATCTTGGGCCAGTTATTCCACCTTTTGAAGTGTCTCTAATGTAGTGAGGCGATTAGTCATCGACAGTAGATACTCCAGGGACGAAAAATAAAATTCACACTTTTAAAATCTAAACCATATCAATTATTCGTGTTTTATTATTTTTGTTGATTAACATAGTAAAAATTGTGTGTTGCTTTGAAACATTTTTTGTGTTTCAATTTTAAATTAACAAACAATGAAATAAATCTTTACAATTGGAAATTTGAAATCTTCATTATATTCTTTTTAGTTATTTTTTTTTCTTTTATTATAGATGGTATAGTATTCCAGGGCCTGCAGGTTTTTGTGGCAAGGAATTAACTATGGTCTATGGTCGAGGCTATCCCTGTAGGTCCAGGCCCGTTGTTATGGGCTAATGAGGCATACACTATGGTCTTGCGAATGTACTCTTTTATGTTTGTTCTTGTTTTCTTTATTTACATTACCAAAAAAAGATGGTATAGTAGAATTTAGTCGATTACTCATGTGTTATTTTAATAATTTAATCTATTATTTAATTAGTGTTAAATAATTACAATCAAATATGTAATTTATATTTTGTTATGGTAACATTATCTTTTAATTTTGACACAAAATTATGTTTATTTTTTTCTTTCAAAATATAATAGTAATAGTTATAATATTATTATTATTTCATTAGACATATAATGACATGAACTAACTTACTCATCATTGAGTGGATTTGGATTGAGTAAGGTAAAAAAATTCTAAAATCAGAGTCAGTTAAAATTAATTAATTTATATATTTTTTTCTCAAATACGAATCAACTTCACTCATGAACATATTTAATACTTTTTTCGATTTCAAATATAAGAAAAAGAAAAAGGTATATAAATTTAATTTAGATACATTTACAATATAAATATTTTATATTTTTGTATAATGAAAATATTTATTTTTATAGAAGTATGTGAGAAAGAATTAGGAAAGCAAATGAAATTTTAGTTGTTTAAAAAAAAGGAAGAGAAGTGAGAAAAAATTGGTGGGTCGGATACCAAATAAAACTCTCTCCCTCATTGCCAAGATTTTAAGGATAAAAGGGACAAAAAAAAATTATGGTGGACCATGTAAATCAAATGATATATTTATATTTCTTTTTTGTATAATTATAATATAAATGATAAATATTTTTTTATAATAAATATCTATTTTTCTTTTCTTTTGCTTCTTGCTTAGTTCTCTTAATTTGAACAACTTAAAAATCTATTTATTTCCTACTCATTCTTTTGCCTATCCTACTTTTTTTTCTCCTTATTCTTTTGCCTATTCTCCTTTTTTTTCTCCTTGAAATCTTTTGTAATTCAAACAAAGTGTAAAATCGTAAAAACCTTTATACAGTTTCCTTTCCTATAACATACTTAATTCGTTAAGATTAGAAAATTTAATTAATCTAATTGATAACAATAAATTTATCTTATTTATATTATTTTTTTTCAAAATTATCATTGTACTATTTTTCTCTCTTAATTAATATTCACTCTTCTATTAACTAATTATAGTGTATATCATAGTTTACTGATCATCCATTATAAGTAATATTATTTATTTTTCTAACCAATTAGAAAACATGCCTTTAAAGAATATAATTAATGTATCTTAATAAATTAATAGAACATAATGTTTTAATTAGAAGTATTCTAGATTAAAAATAATTCTTTTAAAAATATTAAAAATATTTAATACATCAAATATTATTAATTAGGTCTTTATAAATAAATAAAGATTTGTTTTAAGTTAAGTAGACTCTTGTAAATAAAATTGAATCGAAGGTGATAATAAATAAAAGTGTATGGCTTTATTTGATTCTGTTGTGGCGGAAAACTGAGTGTGAGGTTTTCATTAATTGTGATACATGATTTAAAAAGGGGAAATTCGTAGCCGCATTTCTGTTGTTGAATTTGACGTTTGACTTTGGCATACGAAAACATATAATATAAATAAGGTTAATTGAGTGTAAAAATTAAAATAAGATCAGAAACTGTTGTACCAACCAAACGAGGAACACAAGAAATTAATTAAAGTAATTAAAGTAACACACTGTATTTCCATACAGAAGAGAACAAAGACCACACTTATTTAAGATCGTAAATTAATGCACCAAGCTTTATTAAGTAATCACCTTGGTTGTTCATTTACAAACACAGGTTATTGTTAGGAAGCTGCTTCTCGTTTTTTTAAGGTTATTATAATTGACAAAAAAATTATTCTATATATCGATTAAAATATTTTTTAATCTTTATAATTTTATTTATTTTATTTTTTATTTTTTATAATTTTAAATAGTTCTTTTTAATCTTTATTTTTATTTTTTTTTAGTTTTTTTTATAATTCATATAGTTTAAGATATTTTTTTAAAATTTTATACTTACAACTTTTTTAATTCTTTTTAATTTACATCGTTAATTTTTTTATCATTAAATCTTTTGTGTTGATGTTAAAATTAAAAAAAGACATAAAAAAATTAATAATAGAAACTAAAAAAGTCTATCTTAAATTATATAAACTAAAAAAGATTGTGAAACCATATGAACAAAAAGAAAATAATATATATATATATATATATATATATATATATATA